CTAACTGTAGTGTTTTACTGATAACATTGATTGTTAACAGTAGTGTTTTACTGATAACATCGATTGCTAACTGTAGTGTTTTACTGATAACATCGATTGCTAACTGTAGTGTTTTACTGATAACATCGATTGTTAACTGTAGTGTTTTACTGATAATATCGATTGTTAACAGTAGGGTTTTACTGATAACATCGATTGTTAACTGTAGTGTTTTACTGATAACATCGATTGTTAACAGTAGTGTTTTACTGATAACATTGATTGTTAACAGTAGTGTTTTACTGATAATATCGATTGTTAACAGTAGTGTTTTACTGATAACATCGACTGTTAACAGTAGTGTTTTAAAAGTGTTTTCTCTATTTTGTAGTTGTTAGGCCCCTGTAAGTTTATTTTAACTTATTAGTATAATATTGCTAGTAATTTACTTAGCGTTGGTCTGTCCTGGTCACAGCTTTCGTTAGATGCCCCCCCCCCCCCAGTGGCACAGTAGTATGTCTGCGGAATTATACTGCTATAAACCGGGGTTCGATACCCGTGGTGGGCAGAGCACATATAGCCCTTTGTGTAGCTTTGTGTTTGATAACAAACAAACCTTAACTGGGTTGGGAGGCATTGAAGCATATAATGGGGTCAAGTTTATGGATGGAGGCATTAGGTTTGGAGGAAACGACTTTTCAGGGAGGCCTATCATCAAAAGCATCGGCTCTGACGTCAGTTTTGCATCATAATTGTAATATTATATTTAATATTGTTAGTTTTAAAATGTTGTTGTAAGCTATACGCTTAATTAGAATATAATATAAATGGATGTGGTGTTTGAAAGCCTCTATTTTCTAAAACATAATATTTTCGAACAATACGACGCCAAGAGACTTGTTTCGAAGTGCTTCGTAGCTTTGTTTCTTGGAAAACTAGGAGACCTGATAGATTATATACTTCATAGTCAATCATAGTAATAATATCTACCCTTGTTGGATTACAATGACATAATTATTTGTTGGAAAACAAATACAGATATCTCATAGCTCATCCAGTAATTCCCAAGCTTATAGTTGTAGTCACAGTAGTCGACTGCTATATTACAAAAACTGACATGATCATTCAGTTGGTCGGTCAGTCTGTTTGTTTTGATTATTCATTTACCTAGGAGTTTTAATGTCATACTCAAAGATCAACCTTTCCTGAAAGACGTTGCAGTAGCGAGAGAAAGTCAAATGTTAAAAGTACTAACTGACCAGGCCCGACATACTGGTTTTATCAAACATATCTATCTCTGCCGCTAGATGAATTTACGTATTCATTGTTGTTTATTATTGAGCAAAAAGCTGTGTCACTGGGA